AATTTCAATAGAACTACTGTAATAAATAATTGTCACTGGTGGACCAGACTTATCGTCAATGTTCTGCTTGATCATGTGAAAACATTTTTGAACGTTCGAAAAGCTGCGGTTTGGAATGAGAAATTAACGCACAGCCCTACTCGCACAGATAAGATATATTATTCTTCGGGATATATTGCTCCTTCAAAGTTTTGAATGGGATCTAAGATGTACTCGTGCAGGTAAGAACGTTGTGCATTGTTTTCAGACAGAATATTACTTCAATAAAATGCTTCTAAAAATTATGAATTAAAACGTGAAAACATTGGTACTGTACCAACTTCAGTGATCGTTTTTGGAACCGATTCGAACTTTCAAAATAAGTTTGATACGACGAAAAATTTCACTGGAATGTGAAAAATAAAGTCTTTCTTTTTTTCATATAGGGAGACTTTTGTGCATTTTTCACAAGTACGGCAGAACCTGAACAGAGGAGTACTGTACTATCCCTCACATCAAAAAACAGGAATTGTTTATCACGCTTCAAGAGGAGAAAATCCATTTCACCCATTCCCAAGCAAGTTAACGGGAGTTGGGAGACCAGTGATAAAATCCCTTCAGCAATGGAAAAGAAATTCAGAACTTATCAAACCGAATCCCGCTTAAATTTTTTCAGCGTGCGAGACATTTGACTTGACGTTCAGTTTTCAGCAAGCAATACGAGTACATTAGGGCGAAAAGGAAGGAACCACTTGATCAATTAAATTTATATATTATTGGTAAAAGCAATTACGATTAAAGTAGCGCGTTCAATTTATCTAAAAAAATCTTTAATGGATTGATTTTTATCCAAATACATTAGAAACGTCGTTTAAAAACGTTTTAGCTCTGAAAAAATTCCTTTTCCAATAAACCAAAGTTCAATCAACAATTTTCAACTGGCATCAAAAATTCCCTCAGTTTGCATACTGAAATTTGGCCAACATTGAAATTACCTCCCCTGTTTTACTTACGGTTCTTAGGTAAGAAAGCGACTTTAACTTAATTAGGGGCCATGGGTGTATGCTCATTAGAACATAAAAATAGATTAAGTGAGTAGTAGATTACTAAAACTGCGCTGAATTTACTCATCATCTGATTTTCTGCGCTGAATGTTCTTATCATCCGGTGATCTGTGCTGAAACTTACACCATGTGCTTGGATCTGTGCTCCTGAGTCACTCAGATGAAAATGTTCTTACAAAATACATTTATATACTAAGACGGTTGACATAAAAACGTATACATCCTTTCAGTTATAGAAGACACGTCGTTCGATAGCTCTTTCTTGACGCACTTTTATATTCCTCAGTAACGAAATTTTCACTCCTCAAGTTGGAAGCTAAAAAGGAAATACATTAACTGCCAAGAACAAGAGTGAAACTGTCGAACATTTTTTGGGAGTCGTGAATCATCAATTAGAATTGCACCACGTGCAAGTTCGGCTCCAAGCGGCGAAACATTCCTTAAAACCGCATTAAAAACGTCAGAATTGAGTCATACACTGTGTAGAGATAAGAAGACATTGCCTCTAACTGAAGAATGATTCAACAGCGAATTTACTGAACTCATTGAAGTCGAAGTGCTTTTCCATGTCGAAAACTGACATCTTCGAAATCACTGACGCTTTCTAAATCCAAACTGAAAATAGGAGTTTCCGACAATATTCATATGAGCCATCGACTCGGAACAGTTTCATTTGCAAGAGAAAGCATCTAAAATTAATTGATCAATGGTTCACAGATGACTCGCGAAAGAACTGCTTCAGAAGAACAAACAAACAAACTCATTCATCAGCAGGATGAACCGATATTTTATCCCGAACGAAACTTTTGAGCGGCAAAACGCAACTCAAGCATCAAAAATAAAAAATAAACAACAGAAGTTTAATCTTTCATATCAGCATGTTACCAGACAGTATTCCAAAACCGGGTCGGTTAATAACTTCATCGTGAGATCTTTTCATCAGTAGCAAAGAAGATACGATCAGCGATCATGAGTACTTCTTGTCGCGACTGAAAGATCAGCGAACAGAGGGATGAGTACTTGGAAGTCCTGTCTCAGAAAAGCAAGAAGAAACAACCAAGAATCCTTTTTCCGTGAGGGAAATATTCCCGAAAATTGATGACGATCGATGAAATTCTCGCGAGAGCAAAAAGGAGAGCCAAGTAATCACTTCCATTAAAATAGTCGGCCTTGATTATTTCCCCTTCATAACAAAAATTAAACCTTTTCCCAGGAGATATTTAAGAGGGGCACACAAATTATGGCAGTAATGGGCCCTCGGAGAATGGCCATCGTCTAACGACAACCTTGAAAAAAGAAGATAATAATTACATTGCGATTCCACAGATCAATCTTTTATCATACAGTAATAACTTCTCTCTTCGTGATCGTGGCGCGTTTTAGAATTTTTTCAAATGATGGACGACAAACTAGTGAAACGAATAGTCTAAAAATCAGTACAAGGAAAATTACCACGACTCGGATAGCATCTCGCTCATCCACTGAAACTCTGAACAACCTTCATGTTCAGCATCACCAGCACATAATTTCAAAAATTAGAACTTTTCTTTTGGAATAGGCTTGTCAGATCTGGAAAATATTTGCGACGCCTCTTAGGGCATGGCTTTTCAAACCAAGGTACACTTACCACGGGAGTATTCGCGCACTTCCAACGAGGTACACGAAAAATTTTCTTAGCGCCGAGTTTAACTTTTCAAGGTGCTGTGGATTTCAGTCAATGTACAGGAATACAAGAGAAACCAATTTTTTTTATGAAGCAAAACGTTTGGAGAAGCAGCTTCAGCAAAAAGAATATGTAACTCTTCGAACACCAATGGAAAGAAATTTTAATTCCAGGTTCTCTATATACAGTACTTTCGTGAACTTTCGAAATATTCAGCATTTACTGTACGGTAATGTGCAACCGATAACACTTGCGATGCCCTCTCAGTGGAAAGCAAAGAACTTCCATGTATTGAAACCGGTGCAATTCAGAAAAAAAATGGTTCAAAAGCCGGTCTTAAAGGCTCCCGCCGAAAACAGCTCAACAACCACTGCTTGGCGGCTTGACAACTGAAAATTAATAAAAACTCACTTGTTGAGTCGTGTGTTGTTTCTGCGTTCTGCTGACGAGTTCTCGGGCAGGTAGACCGGAAGACGATTGCGGAGAAACACGTTCCACGTACTCGGTCCCGTTCGTCGTGATCTCAGGCTGGTACGTAACGTCGACGGTGTAGCTCGAGCTTATCTCCTGCACCTCCGGCTCCCCACTAAGCCGAAAACGGGAAATACAGAGAGAGA